TCCTCAGATTCTAAAGGACATACTGTTTTTATACATAAGGTAAGCACAGATGTTTTCAGGATGCTTGTTTGAGATCCAGAATTATATAACTAACAATAAAAAGGATTTATATCTTTGTTAGTCATTTATGTATTGCAGGCATTCCTCAGAGGTGCTGAGGATTCGGTTCCAGACCAACATAGTAAAGTGCATGTTGCGTTAAAGCCAGCCACACTGTTTTGTTCATTTCCCAGTACATACGAGGGTCACTATGGAAGTTATGAGACAGAGTTTTGTTTTTGGTTTTTGCTGTTTTTGAGACAGAGTCTCACTTTGTCACCCTAGATAGAGTGCCATGGCATCACGGCTCATAGGAACTTCAAACTCTTGGGCTCAAGTGATTCTCTTGCCTCAGCCTCCCCAGTAGCTGGGACTCCAGGCACCCGCCACAACACCCAGCTATTTTTAAGAGAAGTCTCACTCTGGCTCAGGCTGGTCTCAAACTCATGAACTCAGGCAATCCACATGCCTTGGGCTCCCCAAGTGCTAGGATTACAGGCATGGAAACAAGAGTTTTATATTGTCCTGTATTTTACTTCTAAGAAATGCAGTCAGCAGCAGTGTTCTTTCTGCCTCACTCATGCGAGTTTCAGCTTATTTGACTTGTCGGTATTGCTGGGAGGGCTTCATCTGTCTGTGCCTGTGTGGATTTTATGTTTCTTGATTTTTGCACATCTCAAAACTTTCGTAATGACCCATGTATGAAAATTGTATTTCCATACTAACAAAGGAATATACATACCTTAAGTTAAAAATATGTTGTTGCTAAAAAATGGTAATGATAATCTGAGCCTTCAAGTTTTGATCTTTTTCTGATGGAGGGTCTTGCCTTGATGTTGTGGGTGGTGGTTGCTGAAGTTTGGGATATATGTGGCTGTTTCTTAAAATAAGGCAACAGTGAAGTTGGCCACATCAACTGACTTTTCCTTTCATGAAGGATTTCTCTGTTGCATGCGATGCTGTTTGATAGAATTTTACCCACCGTAGAACTTCTTTTAGAGTTGAAGTTAATCCTCTCAATCCCTGGTGTTGTTTGATCAGCTAAGTTTATATAATATCCTAAATCCTTTGCTGTCATCTCAGCAGTGTTTAGAACATCCTCACCAAGAGTAGATGTCATCTCAAAAGAATGTCTTCTTACTGGGTTCAGTGGTTCATGCCTGGAATCCCAGAACTTTGGAAGGCTGAGGCAGGAAGATCACTGGAGCCCAGGTAATCTTTGACGACAGTCTGGACAACATAGCTAGACCTCTTTGTCTCTACAAAAATTTAAAAATTAGCTGGGGCTGGTGATGTACATTTTTAGTCCTTGCTACTTGGGAAGCTGAGGAAGGAGGATCTGCTGAGCTCAGGAGTTTGGAGGCTGCAGCAAGCTATAGTCATGCCACTATAGTCTACTAGCCTGGGTGACAGAATGAAACCCTGTCTCAGAAAAAACAGAAGCAGAAAAACACTTTCTTTATTTAGCCATAAGAAGCAACTCCTTGTCTGTTGATATTTTCTCATGCCATTCTAACAATTCAGTCACATCTTTAGCTCCGCTTCTGAGTCTAGTCCTCTTGCTGTTTCCACCACCTCTGCAGTTACTTCCCCTGCTCAAGTCTGGAACCCCTTAAAGTAATCAAGGAGGACTGGAGTCAACTTCTTCCAACTACTATTAATGTATTAACATTGGTATTTTGACATCCTCTCAGTAATTAATGAATATTCTTTTTTGTTTGTTTTTATTTTTGAGATAGTCTCAAGCTGTCTCCTTGGGTAGAGTGCCAGGGTGTCATAGCTCGCAGCAACCTCCATCTCGGGATTGCTCAAGCAATCCTCTTGCCTCAGATTTTCTATTTTTAGTAGATATGGGGTCTCAATTTTGCTTAGGCTGGTCTCGAACTTGTGAGCTCAAGCAATCTACCCACCTTGGCCTCTCAGAGTCCTAGGATTACAGTGTTAGCCACTGTACCTGGACCTTAATGAATATTCTTAATGTTGTATAGAATGGTGAATCCTTTCCAAAAGGTTTTCAATTTACTTTGCATAGATCCGTAAGAGGAATCACTATCTGTGGCAGGTGTAACCTTATGGAATATATTTCTTAAATAATAAGACTTGAAGATTGAAACATCTCCTAGATCCAGGGGCTATAGAATGGTTGTTGTGTTACCAGACATGAAAACAGTATTAATCTCTGCATACATTTTCATCTCCATCAGAGCTATTGCGTGACCAGGTGAATTTTCAGTGAACATTAATATTTTGAAAGAAACCCTTTTTTTTTCTGAGCAGGAGGTCTCAAGAGTAGGCTTAAATTATTCAGTGAACCATGCTCTAAACAGACAGTGCTATCACTGAGGCATTGCTGTCCAATTTCTAGAGCACAGGCAACACAGACTCAGCATAACTCTTAAGGGCCCTAGCACTTCAGAATGGTCAGTGAGCATTGAGCACTGTGTTCAACTTCAAGCCGCCAGCTGCATGAGCCCCTAAAAAGAGAACCAGCCTGTCCTATGAAGCTTTGAAGCCAGGTGTTGTCTTCTCCTCTCCAGGTAGGAAAGTTCCAGCTGGCCTCTTCTTCCAGCAGAAGACTTTCTTGTCCACTCTGAAAATGCAGTATAGTCACCTTCATTGAGGTTCTCAGCTACATCTTCTGGATAACTTCTTGCTACTTCTCGTTGCACTTTTATGTTATGGAGACAGCTTCTTTCCTTAAACCTCATGAACCATCCTCTGCTAACTTCAGACTTTTCTTCTGCAGCTTCCATACCTCTCTCAGCCTTCAGAGAATTGAAAGGAGTTAGAGCCTCACCCTGGATTAGGTTTTTGCTTAAGGGATGGTCTATCCAGACCACTAGAACTTTCTCAGTGTCAGCAGTAAGGATGTTTCACTTTCTTAGCATTTGTGTGTTCACTAGAGTAGCACTTTCATTTTCATTTGTGAACGTTTCCTTCACATTTCCAACCTGGCTGAGTATTTGGTGCGAGAGTCGTAGCTTTTGGCCCATCTCAGCTTTGGGCATGCCTTCCGTATTAAACTTAGTCATTCTATCTTTTGATTGAAAGTGAAAGATATGCAGCTCTTCCTTTCACTTGAATACTTAGACACCATTATAGGGTAGTTAATTGGCCTGATTTCAATATTGTTGTGAATAGGCTGAAGAGTGGGAGAGAGATGGGAACGCTTGATCCGTGCAGCAGTCAGAACACACCCAGCATTTACAGAAATTAAGTTAGTTGCCTTAAATGGGTGTGGTTTGTGGTGCCCCCAAACTGTTAGAATAGTAACAGCAGAGACACTGATGACAGCTCATAGTAACAGATATAATAATAAAGCAAAAGTATGAAATACTGTGCAGATGACCACAGTGGGAAACAGACACAAAGTGAGCACATTGCATTGGAAATATAATGCTGATAGATTTGCTTGACACAGGGTCGCCACACACCTTCCATTTGTGAAAAATGCAGTTGTCTGTGATTTGCCTCAAGGCAAGATGTCTCTGTACTGCAGTGACAACAAAGGCATTGTCACTGCCTGAAGTAGAAGAAATGTGTATTTTCCTTGATACAGGAAATTCTTCACATGACGTCTGGGGAAGAGGAATGGGTTTTATTGAGTGTTTACTATGTGCCAAGCCCAGGGCTCAGCAGTTAGTATTGATTAGCTCCTTTATTCATAAGAAACTGCTATGAAGTGTTCTCAGCTCTACGTGTGACACTGAAAGAGGTTAAGTGTCTTGCCCAAGGTCCCAAAGGTAAAAGGTGAAGAGTTGGTAGTAGACCCTGGGCTGTCTGACCACAGTGTAGGGCTCTGGACTGTATCTTTCTTCCATAAGTCTTTCTTATATTGTCAAAAGTTGCTTTTGAGAATGAAAACTGGACATTAAGACAGTGGAAACTTTCTCACTTTGTGATAGTAGCTTACCCTCAATTTAACTCATGGCAGAAGATTCCTGTTCACTAAATATATATAAGACTATAATTTATGTTATATGATAAATTCCATATAAATGTAACTTAATAACTAAAGGACTGGCATTCAGCAGAATAATTTCAGCAGACTTCTTTATTTCCTGGTTAACTTAAACCAGATTTTTTTTTTTAATTGGGCCAAAATTCGCATTCTTATATTTGAGTCAGATCTCCTATTTTGTTGTCATAAATTCACTTGGAAGCTCAGGATATTGTTTTCTTTAATCTTAAGGGTGGTTCTATGCTTTAATTTCATGTGATAATAGATATCATACCAAGGTGCTTTTAAGGCTGGTAGTAGTGTTTTAGTAGCTTTTGGCAGTTTAACTTTATTTTAAAGTTTCAGATTAATATGAGGCTACAAATGATTCGGTTACAATGTTTGTGTTTGTTAGGTGAAGTCCCTGTTGTAGTTGTGTCCTGCAGTTAGAAGGTGTGCCATATACCCTTGGCAGTTTAACTTGATGACATATTTTCTATAATATGTGAGAATGATCAGCTAATTTTTTTATCCTGACCATAAGACACAAAGAGAATGGTTTAGTCTGATGATCTCAGCAGGAAGAGAAATGAACTTCTCTTTTGTTTTTGTATCCCTTGATACCTTCTGGTTGCTCTAAATATTATCTTGTGCGAACTGAGAAATGTTATCGTTTGCCACTCAGGTTCCAGCAAAGCTGTGTGTTCCTGACAAGAACACTTATTTGTATGGAGTTTCCTATTCTAGGGGCACCAAGAATAATGTGTATGTCGTGTAAGGAAGGGGTCGTCGTGAACACTGAATGAACCCCATTCTGAGGATGCTCTCACCCAAGAAACAGACCTGGACAGCATTCCAGTGAAATTTTTACCTGTAACTGCGCCAAGTTGAATTGTGTTTGTATATTTTACGTTAGAATGGGAGTGTTCTCATTTCAAGGAACTCCCTTTTGAATTGTTAGTTTGTTTTTGATATATTATTAAACTCACAAAAATGCGATGTCCCCCCACTCTTGTTTCAGGCTACAAGGGCAGCCATTACTCAGCACTGCACTGACCTTGGAAATCTGTTGGGCAAGGAAAACGACGTGGCCCTCATCATCGATGGCCACACGCTGAAGTACGCGCTGTCCTTCGAAGTCCGGAGGAGCTTCCTCGACTTGGCGCTCTCCTGTAAAGCAGTCATCTGCTGCAGGTAGGGCCCTACGGGCTGCGCATAATTCATATTCTCATGTGTCTCTATGAAAGAAATCCGTGATGGGACTTCTAGGCCTAAAGTTTTATATCCAAAAAAAGGAAACACGAACATAGAAATTTATCTTAACTGTTGGTTCACGGATTTCCCAGAAGGCGAGTTACTGGTTTTTACATTTTAGTTTTGTTTTCTGAGGAGATAAAAGGAGTAAGAACCAGGTTTTCCAGTCATATTCACAATGGGAGATAAATTTGAAAAATGCTGCCTCAAGTTGGTTTGGAAAGTTACCAGGGCCCTTCCTGTTGGGTTCCTTGGTTCTACACATGTCTGAGCTCAACTGCCAAGACTTGTGGGGCTTTGATGCCTCTTTTCTGATGTTCAGCGGGTATTTCTTTTCAGTTACCAAGGAGCTTTGGTCAAGTTCATCTGATAACAATTTTTGCGTTAAGATCTGACCAGAAGTCTTTGTTGGTTCTTCATGACTCTGGGGCTTTTCTTTGCAGGAGGGCGGGCATTGGAGGGGCACTGTTACATTCCCTGGACTGCTAGCTATACAGAGGTCCCTCTCTGCTAGAGAGTTGAAAGTCAAACAGAATTGAAAAGAAAATAAACTACTAGAAAGATGAGTGTTCACCAAAGGCCAGGGAGAGCCGGAGAGGCTGCCTGGGGGTGCCTCAGTATGAGAGAAGCTGCCTGGGGGGGGTGTCTTGGTATTAGAGAGGCTGCCTGGGGGAGCCTCAGTATCAGAGAAGCTTCCTGGGGGAGCCTCTGTATTATCAGAGAGGTGTGCTGGTTTTGTGCCTGTGGTCACAGGATGTTCGAAGACCATGGGGTTGAGGAACAAATTGGACTGTGTTGGAAAGGACAAATGAGAACTCCTGTCTGGAAACCTGGTGCAGCTATGAGGGACCTGGGACAGTGAACAATGACCAGAAAGGTCATTGCCTAGAAAGGAAATACCATCTTCTTGTTTTATAGTGGGTTTTCCCTCTTTTTTTTTCCAAACAGCTTTATTGTGCTAGAATTCACATACCATACAGTTTACCTATCTGAAGCAATTCACAGGTGTTTAGTATATTCAGAGTTGTATAACCGTCACCAGTTTCAGAATATATTTTCATCACCCCCGAAAGAAACCCCAATATCCTTTCTTATTTAACCCCTGTCCTCTTCCACCTCCTGCCTCCACTAAATAACCACTAATGGACTTACCTGTGTGGATTTGTCCATTTGACCCATTTTCATATGAATGGAATCATAGATATGATGTGCTTTTTCTGACTTGTTTCACTTAGCTTGTTTCCAGGGCCCATTCCCATTGTTGCACGTGTCAGTATTTCATTCTTTTCATGGGGACTAATACTCCATTGTGTGGATATACTGCAGGGGGTTCATCCGCTTACCGTGTGTCAACACCTGGGTTGTGACCATTACGTATGATGCTGCTATAAAGACTGACAGAGGAGCTTGTTTGTGGACTTAGTGCACCTCTCAGGGGTGTGTACCTAGGAGTAGAGTAGCAGAGTCGTGCAGCAACTCTATCTAGCCTTTTGAGGAACTATCAGACTAATTCCCTTTTAGGTTTCCATCAGCAATGTGATGTTTCAGTTCTTGTCTTTATAGTTAGTTATCCTAGTGGAGGTAACGTGACATCCCATTGTGGTTTTCATTAGCCGACGTTGAGCTTATTGGCCATTTGTATATATTCGGTGGAGAACAAACTATTCAAATCCTTTGCTTATTTTGAAATTAGATTATTTGTCTTTTTATTATTGAGCAGTAGGGGTCCTTTATTTACTCTGGATACGATAGCTCCTTAGACAAATGATTTTTCTCATTCTGTAGGTTGCCCGTTCACTTTCTAGAATGGTGCTGTTTGCAGCACAAGAAGGTTTTAATTTTGATGAAGTCCATCTTTTCTTCTTTTTGTGTTTTTGGTGTCATATCTAAAGAGCTTGCCTTTTTAAGGAAGTAGACCCTATGTTTACTTTGCTGGATGGCATTTGAGCATTTTAGATTAGGGACATGAAAATAAAGAGAAGGGTAGAGAGAATGGGAGGCAGATTTCTTTTTTCATAATTTTCTCTTTGTGTCTATGTTGTAAAGTTGCTCAGTGGGTGGGTACTTGATTTTATGAAATCCTCAGCACTGGCTGTTGGTACTGTTTCACCCAGAGTTGGGAGTAGGTCACCTCTGCCTGCCAAATGTCACGTTGGCCAAGGGGCCATCCCCTGACCTGTTAGTGGACAGAGACAAATAAGAGCACGAAAAACAGCATGAGGAAATGTGGAAAAGTCTGGTAAACTGTAACTCAAAGCAAACACACTGAAACCTTGTATGGTTTTTGAAAGGGAAATCAAAATGAATCCATTTGGAGTCTCGGGGGAGGGCCGGGAATGCCTGCAAGGTTTTACAGGAACAAGCTCTTTCCTTGCCAGGTGCTTGATACTAAAAAAAAAAGAAAACCTTTCTTCCCTTCTTTCCTTGGCTGCTTTCATGGTGCTTTGTGTGTTCCGTAGGCTGTGTGCCTAAAGCCTTCGCAGGGAGGAGTTCAAACTGGAATTGGCATAGAAAGAGGAAATTTCAAATTAAATACTGTTACAGTCTAGAAAATGGAAGCATTAATTGAAAAAAGCAATCTAGGATAGTGCAGTACTTTCCTGCTCTAGGAGACATTTCTTGGCTGATCTCATACTCAAGATTTAAAAAAAAAATAATCAACACATACTTAGAAAAGGGAAGAAAAGAAGAAATCACTCACATGTTTCAGATGTACTTACTATTCATTGAAAATTTAAACTCCATCAAAATTGAATATGTAACTTCAAACATAAAGTTGACCTTAATTCTCACTTTTCATCTTTAAAACATAATAGCTGTGAGAGTTTTCTCTAATAGTAAAGGAAAGTAATTTTTTTCAGTAAGCAACTTCTTAAATGAAATCATTAGGCATTCTCTTATTAATATTGATTCAGAGATTGGTGAATATTTTATAAAAGAGATAAATACCTTTAAACTAAAACAATATTTTAGGCAGTGAAAAGGGGAGAAATGCAGAAATTTATTAAATATTTTGCTAAAGTTCGAATCAGACAGTTTTGCTAATTATGCATTGCTGTGCCCAAATGTTTTCCATGTAGTTCAAGTCCCGAGGAGGTCACATGGTAGTCAGAACCCTTACCAGTTAATACTCCAGTGTTCTGAGTATGCCAGGGATGTTGTAGGTATAATAGATTGTTTGTTCACATCTAAACCCATGCGTCCAAGGAGATTTTTGTTGTGGGCTTGTTATTTGTGTTGTAGATGCCTAGCTGTTATGGGCAGATAGATAAACACAGTCTTTGACGGGGGTGAATAACAGAGTAGGTTATGGTATTTGCCCCAGTTCTGGAAGTCAGGCTGCTAGTGAAGCTGGAGTATCCAAGTCTCTATCTGGCCATGTGCAGCAAGCCCATTTTGTTCCTCTCTTGCTTTGCAGTTCCTTTCAGCACTTGGTACAGTCGGTCTACCCTTGAAGGGTTCTCTTCTCCATCTGACACCTCTCCCTCCTCCCTGGTTATGTCTCCTTCACGGGTTCCTTTTCTGGCTCCTCTGAACTGGTGCTTTCCCGAGGTGTTGCCTCTGGCCCTGTGACTTCTGTGTCTTCTCCCCAAGCGCCTTCCCTCTGTTCCCAGGGCCTCTTCCATCTTATATAACTGTGACTCTCAACACCAGCTTCACACTGGATTATCTGAAGAACTTTTAAGAAAAGATTTTCCTTACAAAGCTAAACATGAAGTTCTATGTGACCCAGCAATTCACTCGTATGTATATACCCAAAATAATAAAAAACTCAAACAAATGCTTGTACATGCCTGTTCACAGCAGCCAGAGATAGGAAATAACCCAGATGTCCACCAATTCATGACTGAATAAGCACAATAAGGTGTATCTATACAATGGAATATTATTCCTTCATGAAAAGAAAGAAGGTAGTGACACATGACAATACAGGGGAACCTTGAAGACACACTGAGTGAAGGAAGCCAGTCACACAAGGCTGTGTGTTATGATTCCATGCCAGTGAAATAGTGAGGACAGGCAGATCTCTAGAGCCAGAGCCCAGTCGTGGTTTCCACTGGGCTTGTGGGAGGAAGAATGGGAAATGATTGCTTAGTGGGTATAGAATCTCCTTTTGAGGAAGATGAAATGTTTTGAGACTGGATTCAGGTGATAGCTGTACAATATTGTTACCAAACTAAATGCCACTGAATTTTTATGCATGAAAATGGTGAGTTTTATGTTATGTGAATTTTACCTCAATAGAAGAGTATAGACAAACGAATGAAACAATTCATCTATTAAATGAAATGTTTGTTGAATAAGGAAAATGAAATGTTTGAATGAAAGTTGCATTCATATGAATGAAACGTTGGTTGAAAGAAAGCAAACAGGCTCGGCACCTGTGGCTCAAGCAGCTAAGGTGCCAGCCACATACACCTAAGGTGGCAGGTTCGAATCCCCAGCCCGGGCCCGCCAAACAACAATGATGGCTGCAACCAAAAAATGGCCAGGCGCTGTGGGCGCCTGTGGTCCCGGCTACTTGGGAGGCTGAGGCAGGAGACTCGCTTGAGCCCAGGAGTTGGAGGTTGCTGTGAGCTGTGATGCCATGGCACTCAACCCAGGGGGATAGCTTGAGGCTCCGTCTAAAAAAAAAAAAAAAAGAAAGAAAGAAAGAAAGCAATCAAAAACATTCTGATTCCTGAGCCCTCCCCTAGAGCAATGGGATTAAAACTCTGGGAATTTTATGAACTCCACTCTAATGAGACTGAATATTGACAGTGTCAGTGTCCCTAATCTGCTAATCCTGCATGGCCCCCCATGGCCCCTCTTTTCAGACCCTTAGTTCTGCGTCTAGGACTTTTTTATGCCAACATTCTTTGGATGTCTTTGACAAAAAAATATGTAAACAGAGTCAGTCACCGTGTCCCTGTCTACACTGTACCTCTCGTCTGCTGAGC